TGGATATGGAATGCGTTTAGGTATCTCTTTAATATTTTATATGGAAAATATTCAGAATTCTTTATTCATCAATATTCTTTAGTCATCAAAGCAACGATTTTGAGGCTTCATGGACTAAATTCAGAAAACTGAAAACAAAACTGTTTGTTATTCCCGCAAATAGCAATTCTCTAATTCTCAGTATAAAGATTCCAGATACTTAATAACTTGGAATTGGTTTATTTTCCCTAATCTTGTAAGAAGACTTTTACCGTCGTCTTTGGCAAGGTTCCATTAAATGTCCCGCCCCTTCAGTGGAACAGAAATATTATTTAAGACGGGTGGTCCCTTGAGGCAAACACAGTCAATAGTTCGGGATATATTTTCATCTCCCAGGAGAGAAGAATCTACTCGCGTCTCTGCGATTCTCCATTATAACATTTAGTGTGATTTATACGAGAAAGTATAAACCAGAAAGCGGAACATATTTGGCTTTCACTTAAATTGATATGAGCACTTAGAGGTGATGGAGAACTTCTACCAGCTTTAATAGGCTTTATGGGTCTGACTAATGGCCATAAACTACAGCGATGTATCAAAGCAACCGTGGATCAAAAATACTTAAAAGGAAATGAACAGACTGGGTTCGACTAATATACGTAATTCAGCCTTATAATTATAGTTTGGTACATTTGTTTCCTGGAAGAGGGGGTTGAGGGGTTGACTTAGTTCAACCGTACCCTATGGCGATTGAGCCACCGACTGTTTTACTTAAAAAAAATCCACACCATGAACTCGGTCTGAGTAATAGCCATAAATTACCACGATGTATCAAAACGATCACCGGTACAAGTAGAAAATGACGAGTTTTATGTCCTTATTTTCTGCACCATGTGGCTAATGAAGACTAGCAACGCTATGCAGGGTGCAATGAGGGAAATTTTGCCAGGACAGCGGTATTATCCTCGGTTTATTGTCCCATCCGAACGACTAGACGCATTTTTTTCCATGTATTTTTCCAAGGTATTATCTCGACCTTTGTCGGCATTGAACCCTGCAAACTCACTGAGTCACATGTGGCATAACAAATACGATGAACACATGAGCTGGATTGTGAATATTTACAGCAATGCACTTTATCGTGTGGATCAGAAAAACGCTGATAGTGATACGGAATTCTCGAAATGTTCATGAATTGATACTCTAAAAGTCTGGCTATAACAATCTTACAATACAAACAGTCTTTATCTTTCGTGGATTGAATACAGATTTTAAAACTTTCTTTGAACTATATTTTCAGTTAAAAGGAAGATAAATTG